GAAAAATAGCGTGCGGAAAAGCCATAGCATAGACCCGCAGATTTGCAAGAGAATTTTCGTTAGAGCATTCCCTGCCCTGCAGAGAATTGCCGTTGCCATTGTTACAACGCTGCCCTGCCGGAATTGCAGGGTGCCACTATTTATGCCAAACTAATAGGACTATATCTGCCTTCTTTGAGAGTGAGTGCCCCCCGTACTTGCGGAGCGGATTTTATGAAATAGCTTAGAGGCGACGGGACACGCCCTTGCGCATGATCCTACAGGAGGATCAACAGCTAGCCCGGCTAGCCACCTTGTCATTGAGTCATAAATCAGTCCTAATTCATATTCCAGAAGCCGGAGCCTAGTGCTACGCCAAGCACCTCCTAATCGATTATGCCTAGTGCTCCGATACGGAACCGAAATCGCCCGAAGTCCGACCGCCAGCAGACAGTTATGTAGCAATAAGATCCCGATGGCAAAAATACGAGCCGAATCAATCAAGGGACGCTGATTAATCCTAAGGCCCGAAAAGGGCTAATGAGGCCCCTACACTTCCCCAGGCCCCAGTTCACTTGCTAACGAGTCCTTGAAGAGCGTAACTAATCTTTGAAATCAAGTGACACTCGCCCTCCGGGCTAATAATGCGGGTCAAAGAGGAAAATTGTATACAATCGCGCAAGTCGACTATCGACACTCTTTCTTCTGTGTCAAATCAGACGGGGTGCCGGAAACATTCTAGCAATATTCATAAAGCCCTACAAGCACGCACACTAAATATAACAGGCGCATAATTCCACCTACACCATTTAAACCCCACCACCCGTCCCACCCACATCCATAAGCAAATACTATTTTGTTACCTTTGTGTCAAATATTCCATAATTCATCGAAAGGCCCAAGACGAATAGAAGTTGATACACGAAATATCAAAAGTATCACGAAACAGAAGCGGCTTGGACGATCTCACCACCGAGCGCAACCTATGCACCTTTCCTCATGCCTACACTAGGCCTGGCCCCATATCTAGAAGGATCAGTCCAATTCTTGGAACAGCGCCAGCATGGAGCCACTTGTATACGGCTCTCGCCCGCCCTTTGGGTTGGATGCCTACGTTCGGCCCTCCTCCCTCTCCCCCCTCCCTCCTCCCCCCATGCAAGTCCACTCCGTCCACACTCTGGTGTGGCCCGAACTAGCGCTATCCACAACCGCTCTGGCGACCCGCACGACACAAGGAACAACCCCTCTCATCCGACCACAATGCTCCATAGACTCCCACTCCTCAATGCCCACTTCTCCCAGGGCAGCCTCCACGGCTGTGTAGGCATTCCACAAGCGCGCGCTGCCGAACAACCTATGCCTACATCTTTTAACTGCCTCCGAGCCGCCGACCGCCAGCCAGCCACTGTTAGAAGGCTAATAGGCCAGCATAGCAACAAAAGCCCGAGCCGAGATGCGAAGTATTTGACAATCAGCCTCCGCGCTGCGCTTTTATTTGCCGAATTCAATGATGTTTAACAAAAAAGCAATCATACTCACAGACCAGCCATGCGAGCGCCCCCCAAAGACTGCTCCACGAAACAGACGCGTCTATCAAATGCTTGGGCAACCCTAAAAATTTAGAAAAAGTTAATGCTGATCAGCCCTAAAAGGAAAGACACAAAAGTATCAAGCGCGCAAAGGTATCTTGTTTGTATATCAAAGAAAATGCGCTGGCAGCAGAGACGCCGAAAGTATATAAGCTAAAAACAATCCATGCAGTCACTGTCCTGCATTGCTTATTAGTTTTACTTGCAGCTAGCTGGACTACGGAAGATTGATTCCATCCGCTTTTAGCTACCTTCTTGGCTGACCACTGGGAACATGCTGTGAAACAACCTCCCCGCAGCGAACCCTCCCTTGACACCCCATTCGTGTCCGAACCAGCTATACCCATGGCCTGGCCCCGGCGCTCTCGCACATCAAGAGACGGGTTCAGCAGTGCAGAACGTCCACTACCTGCCATTACCCCGAGAGGGATAAGAGGGTAGTAGTAGCAGTGGAAGGAGTCTCTTTATCTTTTTTGGAAGCTTGTGAAGACAAGAAGCGCTCGCCCTGATGGCCACCCATTTGCCTCAAGGACCGAGCCGAAACTTAAGAATAGCAAAGTTATTCCTGCTTTCTATTGCGCAGAATGAGGTTATGCGACCTGAGAGTGTCTGACCCAGGCACGGGCTCCTCCACTTCTATCCTGCTTAGATGCCTGATGCATCCTATGTTACATGCAAGTGCGAACTCCTAAGCCCCTTGAGCGATGCGGGCCTTTCGATGAATAAGTTCGCTCACCGCTCTGCTGGCACGAGTGGACTGCCCTTGTCATTCAATCACAGCAAGACTCTGCACAAGCAAAACCAGCAGGCTGGTCCGTGGCCCATTCGTCAGTTGGTGTCTCTTGACATTATCGACACGTAGTATTTCTGCTACACTCAATGCTTGGCAGATGATGCGATGTTATTTCGGGTCTGCCGGGATGCTGCCCGCCCATTGTTGCCGTGTATACCAGTCTTACGTTGCAACTCCTCTGTGATTAAATTTCCATTAACGTTTACGTACTGTCGAGATGTGAGTATTACGCAGCCTCTTTTGATGGCGGCTCCTTCCTGAGGAGTGAGGGAGCCCAGAGCGATCTCGCCCCTACCACCCCTAGGTAGCTCTCGGATAACCCTTTGAGCGAGATTCTCTACAGCAATGCCCTGTTCCGCCTCACTTACACACACAACAAGCAGGCAACACAACACAAAAAGCTATTAAAATCAACATCGTAATCGATCTATACCAGGCGAAAGCAGGTCAGCGAACGAGGAGTGTCTGTATGTTTGTTCCTCAAACGAGCCCGTTATATTATTGCGAGCAATTCAGGCCTGAATGGATATGCCAATAAGCCACGGGCAATCAATTCCACTGCAAGAGCATGCCTTAAGCCCACAAGAATCAGAACAGAGCCCCTCCCATCTATTTATTAGTACCAGTGCCAAGACAACCAAGCCACCCAAAAGCCCAGCTTTTGAAAATCCCCACTCTTCTTTCTACTTTGCTCGTTCTTAGATTTTTGGTTTTTGCCAGCATCCTCTCTCCCCCCCCCCCCCCCCCCCCCCCCCCCCCCCCCCCCCATCACTAGTCAGCCGGACTTATATTTTTAACTTTCACATTTTTTTTTCCCACTGATTGCGCTGCACAGGCTTAGCGAGCATAAGAGCCAACAGCTGGCAGATGGAGGAGGTAATCCCCGACCCCCCCCCTTCTCCCTTAACGTCAGAGAGGCCAATGGGCCCAGCCGCTTTCTCAGACACTCTTCTCTTGTTTCTTTTCCATCCACGTGATGGGAGGAGCCATCTCCATATATAAATGAAGCAGGCCAATGGGCCAATGGGCGCCCTCCGCTCGCTTCCTAGGTTCTGGCCAATCAGGAGCGAGGAGGCGGGACAGCCGCGGACAATGGGGGAAAGATGATGGGATTTGGGATTTCCTGCCCGCAGGAATGCGGGCTATTGTTCAAGGCGGGAAGAGGGTGATATTTGTCAAACAAAGGCTTTCCTGTTCTTAATGAGTCTGGCAAGGGATTTGAATAGCTGGATCGATACCGGACCGCCCGGAGGATCAACAGTATCTGGGTGATTTAATCAGTCCTTTCTTTCCGGGGCTCTGCTGACCAAACCCTCCTTCGTTTGCCTTGCTCCGATGGCGAAATCGGGGGCCAGCAGCATTGTCCATGCAAAATGAGTCAATCAAGGGTGATTTAGGGGGAAAAGGCTTGGGCCCTTTCCCCAGGCAGTTCCTGGTCACGCTGGTCTTCTTTGTGGGGTAAGGGGTCAAAGAGGAAAAGATACAATGGAGTTCATAGGGGTACATATTTCATATTCATAAAGTACAGGCATCACTAATATACAGGCATTTCATACACCACAACCCACCACCCGTCCCAACCCACATCCATAAGAAAATATTTTATTTTGTATTTCATTTCATGAAAGGAAAGAAAGTCCAGAAATCTCAAAAGTCCAAACAGAGGGGCTTGGATGCAGGGGCCAGCCTATGGTTTAGGCTGGCCATTAGAAGATCAGTCCATTTTGGGGAACAGGAGCTGGAGCTGAAGGGGGAGCTACGTTCCGCTGTCCCGTCCTTGGTGGAACTAGCGCTCCCAACCGGGGATCGGGCCTCCCTGCCCGATCCCCACTCCCAAGGCTTCCCCTGGGCAGCGGCGGTGGATCCCAGGCGGCTGGAACCATGCTGGAGCGAGCAGCAGCGAGCGTAATGGAGCAAGCAACAAAAGCCGGCGAAGTTTTGACAATCAGCTGGTGGCTTGGCCGAATTCAATGATTTAACAA